TTAGGGCCTTTATTTCATATTTATTCATACAATAAATTAAAAAGGCTTAGATACTTTGTTTAATATATATTAAAACAGATTCAACAATTAGATATGTGTATAAAATAGTATAAAAAAAATAAATACTTGACACTGCATGACCGTTCGCGTACTTTTTACTTTTATTATATCGAAATATAAACATTTTGGCCATAAGCTTAGGCCATTTTTAATACAAAATTATGCAGAGAATGTTAATTACACCTTACCTAAAAAATCATTTTATAAATGAGTCGCAAAATTGGGTATTAAGTACATGTTTCGATAAAAGAAACTCCTATTTTCGCATGATGTTGAAGATGTCAAAAAAAATGAATTACAATAACGTCCGGTGAAGACACCTTGTCGAATAATTGATGACATATTTGAAATTCAATGTCACATCGTGATAAAAATGTTAATTCATATGTCTACTATAAAACACATATTCACCCATCACTTATTATTAAAGATGAAAATTATAAATGAGAAAAATTTCTTTTTTTTTTTTAACTTACACAATATACGATTTACGAACGAATAATTCGGATGGTTTGACACATATGAATTAACATTTTTATTACGGCGTGACATTGAATATCAATATGTCATCAGTTGTTAAATTCAACGAGGCATCTTCATCGGACATTAATGTAATTTTTTGGTACCACATTATTATGTAACAACAAGAGCTTTTCTACCAAACATGTATTCAGTATCTAATTTTACGACTTATTTATAAAATGATTTTTTATATAAAATGTAATTAACGTTCTTTATATAATTTTGTATTAAAAATGACCTAAACTTATAGTCCGAACGTTCATATTTTGATATAATGAAAGTAAGAGACTTACGAATAGCCAGTGTCAGATCCTTATACACATTATTCTTTTCATATTGTTTTGTTTAATATTGATTAAATATTTGTGTATTTCATTTACCATATAATGTTAAATTGGTATTGTAAGACTTAATGGAAATTTTTATCGACGAAAGTATTCTTCTTTAATTAAATTAGAGCAAATACAGAATATCGCATGTAAGAATCAAATAGATTCAATTTGCAAACTCGCAATTTCATGAATTACATTTTTGACACTGTGCGCGCAGATGTAATAGATTAAATGACAGACCAATGGTGGAATTTGCACTGGTCAGCTTTCCCTAACGTCTGCAAATTCAGAGAGCTTCGCTTACTTGGTCAAACTATTGTTTGCGATACGGTATCCAGACGACTATGTGTTTGCGTGTGCTCGCATGCGTCTGTATATATCGTATTGTTGATTGAGAATGGTGCTGATTGTGTAATGGAAAATTGTAGGCCGAACAATGTTGATCGTGAAGAACGCGAAAAGGAAGGGGAAAGTGATAGAAATACTTGCTGAAGAACATAAGATTTATGAGATAGTTGGCGGACGGCTACAGATATTATTACATTTATAAATTCTTTTTAGACAGTTTATTTTGATAGAAAAAGAATGTTGTGTTCATATATAAAAATTAATTTTTAAATTGAATGAGTTAGGTATATCGAGTATGACGAAGCTTACCTTATTATTGCAAAAAGTCGTTTATTGCACGAAATCTATATAAAAATGTTCGTTCAAAAAAAATTCAACATACATAATCTCGCCTCGTTTCCAAGTTTGGATGTAGGATAGACTTTCCCGACCTAATCGTTCCAGTCAACCTACCTCAGTAGCCTACACTCTTATAGTTACATTGCGAAAGAAGTACGAGTCCTAGTTACCCACATTCTGTGCCAGATATTGGTTGCTAATTAAACAATTGACTTCAATATAATTAATTCAGCGTTCCTATTTCTTATTTGAGATTTCCTAGAACTAACAATGCAAATGGCACATAGGAAAGATTCTACCAAAATAATGTAAAAGAGAATTACCTTTTAAATACATCGTTTTACTATTTCACGTATTTTTTTTGTTGTGAAGAAACTATTTACATTCATACCTATGTTTATTGATATTCACAATTTATTCGTTTAGAGACACAAATATCTGTATTATATACCTAAATTTAAAAAACTATGTGTTTATCTATTTCTCGTTCGTTCTCGAAGTGCAAGCCGTGCTCGCAGTATGTCTCTGCAATACACATTACAAATACATGGCGTGGGACAAATTGTGGGTGATAGAAGTGATAAAAGTGTCCGTCATGGTAGTTTGGTTTGTTTGTTCGGGACTTCGTAAAATGAATAGAAATAGAAAGGAAACGCTAGTTTTAAATCGGCGTAATCGACGCGAGATATTCAAACATCTATGCACTTTCTCAATAAGCATCGCACGTGGGTGTGAAACTGTGAGTTTCGTAATTACAGGTTTACTTCTAGGACATTATCTTGCACGCGTATCAAACGGTGCAAACTGCACCTGAAAAATTTCTTACGAATGGTGGGCAGTTATTGCAACGCGGAAAGTGTCCCACGCGAAGTCCGCTAGGCAGCTGACATAGACATCTATTCTGACCGACTGCATATCTCAGCCTGTCCATTGTCTGCATGCAAGTAGGCCTGCATGAGAATGCAATAAAATCGTCTCCTGTCATTGATATGCGGACCACGCTTAAGATGAATTTCAGTTAAACAAATTGCAATCTTACAGAATTTCTTTATATACTTTCTTTTCAAGACATTGTCTAATACTAAATAATAATATTCGTGTGATGTCTACTAGAGAATAGACTTTTATGAGCAGTTTCCGTAATCGCATCAAGACATTGGATGTTAATGCATTTTTTATGTAACATAAATTATGTGTTTGTTAATTCTAATTATAGCGCTTTTAAATATAATAATACGATGAAAATGTATGAATATATTTAGTTCATGATTAAATCTTTACAATGTTGGATGTGACACGAAATAATTTTTTCAAAAAATCGAGAAACAAGAAAAGACCAAAAATGATTTTGCATAATATAATCTCAATGAACAGCGCAAATAAATTTGTAATTAAATACGAGGTGATTAATGCAATAGCTTTTAAAATTATTTGTAAACTCTACTTTAAATATAAAAAATTTTACTTCTCGACGTAATAAATTTTAATTGTCGATGTAATAACGTTTATACCTAATTATTTTAAAAGTGCAAATTCTTCCAATGTATCGAAGTTAATATCAACTACATATTAAAACACCTCGTAATTATATATTTCCAGGCCATAGTTAGGGTAGGTTAGGCCTCAACTGTGCTTAGATTACGCTGGCATCCGTGCACCGTTGTCCGCTTTGGTCCCACCACTTACCTGTGATCCAACTTGTGTTTTCCGTAGATGTAATCCACGTGTTCATGCTGCGCGCACACGCACGCGTATCCGTTAGTGCAAGGGTTTAAACGGCTTTCACTCTCTAAGTGTTGGTGAGTCAACGATAACTTGGCAGGGAAACATACTATATTCCCCGACTGTATACCACATCCAGGGCCGTAACAAGATCAACTCTTTGACGCATTTTTTAATTGGAGATTTAAACAGATTTTAATTTTTCGGCGAGAGAAAAATGTATATTTTTATCTAGTGCGAAACAATAATCTACACGATTCCTTATATTTAAATGAATATAATCGATTATAATTTTCGTCAACTTTTGAATTAATGTCAATTTTCAAATCTTCAAAGTTAGCTTAAATATAAAAGCATACAAATGTATTTTACGGAAACTTCTATGAATCTCGAAGAGTCATGTATGACAAACTAACTGATTGAAACATTCAATCGTTGTAATCTTGTTAGTGAAGTTTGAAACAAGTTTTCGTTATATCGTTAAGTGGTCAATGTAGTTTGGTAGAATCGTCAAAGCATAATAAAACCTAGGTCAAGTGTTTGCTGGTTGAGATCCTTGATCCTAATGACGGGTCAACCGTGCCAATTGATTGTAAGAATACAGCGATTCTGTTCCGAGGATACAATCGTGCAAGTTTGATCTCAACTGGATAAGATTGACTTTGACTACGTCCTGTTGCTCTGAGAACAACGCGCAGCAATATCTGCGTGCTGCAAATAAATCCTTGAAAGTGTATGACATTCCTTCAAACAATTATATAGCTTAATTAAAATAAGATTACGAATCACATGTTGGAATCACTCAATCTAATCCTCAATAAAAATATGAACCATAAATTTAGCAAATTACAAAATAAATACAAATACAATAATACATTTTTTTGTTTAAAAATATCTACAAAGTTTACGATACTATCATTTTTTTTCTTTGGTTTTTTTTCATATTTTATAATATATAAAAATATATTTGATAGCTTTCGAAAACACACAAAAAGATTACGCAGAAAGGAAAATGACTCGTCTGGTCTAAGGATGAATCATCTGATTTTTTAAATCGCAATCGAAATCTCCTGGATCGCGTAGTGAATTCCGAAAGCTAATTCTTCAGAGCGGGTGATCGAGCGCACGGGGTGGACGCGCGGCGGTGGCACTTCGGTGATCTTCGGCGGCTCGGTGCGCAGGCGCCACGGTGCGGCGGCACACCACGCTGCGAAGAACTCACTCGCGTACTGCATCGCACGGCACACACAGCACACCAACTAATCAACGAACCACGAGCGCAGATCAGCGCCGATTTATAGGTACAGCCACGCGGTCGCGCCGACAGCTACAACATAACAACGCGACACAGACATAGTGTATCGTCCGATGAGGAGAGGTGTCATCGAAAAAGGGATCGAAAGGGACAGTGATCGAATCTCCGATTTCCGGATCACAATCACCGATTAGGCGGACAAGTGCGTGGCTATACCGTTACGGGTTCGTTAAGTGAGAATTGACTTGCCACGGTTGCTGTCAGTGAGAACGGGACAATCTCTCGCATGTCCTCGCGGCGTGGCATGTTCTTCAACTGTTCGTTGTTTACGTTCGGGTGGATGCGTCAGCGGGAGACGCGCGTCGGAGAAATATAGCGCGATCATCAAGGGTGCAACACGCGACTTTTTCCGGTGCTGGGCGATGACTGTGCAGAAGGTCAAACCACGCGGTACCGCGGCGGAGGAGCAACAACCCTCGGCGTCAGACATTCTCTCACCATCGGGCGAACCCCATGAGAATGACAAGGAGCAATCGACGCGAAATTGTTATCGCGGGACCGGTCCACAGGACAGCGAGAATCTCTTGGGATGCGTCTTGGCCGGTAAGTGATAGACTCTCGACGAAAGGGAGAGTTCGCCCCCGGGCAATGCTACAGCACGCTCTATGTTATGTCTAGTTCGTAGGCTTTAAACCGCTAGTACACCTAACGGAAACATTCCTAACGTAACACACAGATCGCTATTCTCATATAGGAAGGAATGGAGAAAGAGAGGCGTTTTCACTTTCCAGCGCGGGCAAGAATGTAGGTCGCGGGGCCCGGGACGAGGCCGAGTTCGTTGCCCTCGGTCGGCGGCCTTCCACTCGGCGCTCCGGCAATTTTTCTCCGTCTCTTTCTATCTCCCTCTTCTCTCGTTTTCCCCCTTCTCCGCCTGACTATACTCGTGCACACCACATACACACACATCTCTCGTTCGCGGTGTCGGCACTAGCCTAGATAGTGCGAGAACCTCTCTAGAGTCTCCCACCCTCTTTCACGCATACACACGTACGGGCGTTTCCTCCTCTCGCTATTCTCTCTCTTTCTCTCCATGGTCTTCCTACCATTTATTTCTCTCATTCTGTCTCGCTTCTCTTCCTCTTGGCAAATCGCGCGCTCGCGATCTACCATCTCGTTCTCTCTCTTTCTCTCTCTCTCTCTCTCTCTCTCTTTCTCTCTCGACACCGACAGGAAAGTGGGTCGACGGGGCCTTGGCGCGAGGCTAGTTCGTTCACCCTGCCTGCCCCGTAACTGGGGCAAGATGAAATTAACCGAGCAGTCCGACCCTCCGTCCCTCTCCCTGTCTCACCGTTCGCCAAGTAGAGCCGTTGGTGAACTCCGCGACTCATGTGGCCAATCGCCGTCGGGCCAGTTCAACGAACTCCAACTGGGTCTCCCCACCTGCCCCACTACCCGGTAGCTCTCCCACTCCAGTTTAGCTATTCGACGACTAAGCCTCCCCACCTACATCCACTAGCGAAGGTCACCAACACAGCCAAACATGTCTCGTCGACGCGTCGAAGAGTGGCCGAACCACTCGTATATACACACAAGAGAGGCATGCGTGACGCGTAACTTTGCGAGAGAGCGAGTATACACGGCGACGACGGCGACGATGAAGGCGGCGATGGTACTTGGGTGACGTACGTATGTACGTACAAACGTACGCGCCACCGTTGGCCTATCATCGGCTGAGAATTCTCGTCGGCGTGGGCATTGTTACGTAACCGTACACGATAGTGAATTACGATGGTAAACTACCTACTCACGAGTCCCTCTCGCCACAATCTCTCTTTTCTCCCTCTCTCTCCATCCCTCCTTTCTCATCCTCGCTCCCCGACTGTCTTCACTATACATGGAGAAAGTACCAACTAGCTGCTTCGCTGGACCGTGATCACTCTCGCTGCTAGAAAGCTTTCACCGTTTCTTCGTATGTCGCGAGTGGTCATCCTCTCGCTGCTTGATGCATCGTTATTATCATCTTCGGAGCACTGACCTACCCCAAGCGGCGCGTGTACAGGGTGGACCGTTAATTGCAATGACTGCAGACTGCTAAATGTACGCGCTACGTGCGTTGTATTTAAAATACGAAATAGTTTATATCTGACATATATATACTATCCCCCCAATCCTAAATATTTCTTTCCAATTTTCCATATAAAGTCATATTTACACTCTATGTTTATCGACGCTTAATAATATGTACAGCTTAGTTTTCAATTTATTATCGAATTTTGAAATTTAATATTTTCAGACGAAAAATATCTCAGAATCCGTATCTCTAAATCAACATTTATCAAAAAAAAAATCTGCATTATTGACGTTGAAGTAAAAATAGCAAAAGTAGCTACTTCAGAGTGTCATCAGTGCGTTTAGATTCTGCGAAAAAGGAGAGATCGACACCTGAATTTGACGAAAGAAAGCCTATGTCATAATAATAAAATCGTATATCCTTGGCTGGATATTTTCTAATTGCGCTTGTGCGACTGTTGGCTAACCTCAAAAGCAAGACGCGCGGGCAATGGCCTGGCCTCCTCCCGGTCCCCAGTGACCTCGATTGATGCACGGTGTCCTCTCCCAGTCCACCTTCTCCCTCCCCTCTACTCCCACCCTACACCCTCTAAGCGGAGCGTTGACTCGACATCGCCCAATCAGAGGCCAGTTCGTCGACTCTCCGGGCTGCTCTCTCGGGGTCGTTCTAATCTCGCAACGTCCCTACGCCAAACTGACGAGAAGCCCGATAAGAGTACGATCTCGCTCATCCTCTTTCTACATACATGCACACGCATCTCTTTTTCTTTCCTTCTCTCTGTCTCACTCGCTCTCCCCCCCCCCTCCCCTCCCTCCCCGTGTCTCTTCCCCCTCCTCACTCTCTCTCACTCACTCTCTTTCTCTTCTCGCTCCCTCCTCCATATTGCCTTTCTCTCACTCCCTCCTGCCACCGAGGTGAACAACCTCAAATCATGTCGGCACTCTTATCGCTCGCGAGCTCGGAACCCTTATCGAATAAACGCACGTTCGCTGAACCACTGGCAAAAATGACAATTTTTCTTGATCACCCTGCGTAATGCGAATGCTCATAAGACGCGTTTATCCTGTATTAGCGCATGGAGTGGGAACACATAATACTTTGAGGAACCGACGACCCAGTTTGACTAGTCACAGTAAATATCAACGCTTTTGTCAAGAGGCTCGATACAGATAGTATCACTCCATTAGAAAACTTGCTTTTCTAGTAGTCTCGAAAGCTAATAATAAATAAAACGAACTCTGTTCGTTTAATGTTTTTAAATCAAGATAGGTTTCTCTTTCAATAAGAGAAGTTGACGATATTTCTAATAGTTGATCAATCAAAGATAATAACGTGATCTCTTGATTTATATTTTTTTGTCAAGTGATACGTTTTACACAGAATACATCGGAGTGTCAACACGCGCGAGTAAACAAAAAGTAGCGAAAAATATATGACAAAGAATGAAATAGAAGAAAGAGAGTCATCTTATTTCTCGTATGCGTATTTCCCTTTCATTGGCATCCGGACGAACCACCTTCGCCGCTGTCTTAACTTCCTAGCCAGACCACTCTTACTTTCTTTCTGGTGAACCGTCTCGTTTGGTTCATACTAAGAAAAAGAAAGAGTACATTTCTAACATGTTACATTTTCTATTATGTTGCAGCGAAATATCTTGTTTGAATTTTGTTATGCGAATTGATTGAAAGTCTCGGTGTGTGTCATTTCACCATTTTTCAATACCTCGCATTTCAACATAACTATACACTTTATTTATTTCGTTCGATTAGATCAGCGAGAAGTGAAACGAATAACCATTTACGATCTAAAGTATTTCACGGAAATTCAAACTAAGCGATTACTCACGCGTCCCAACCCTCGGAACTTAGGTGGTGTGGGGAAAAGGTCGTGGGGCTGAAGGGAGGGACGGTAACCTCGAGGCCAATGAACTCTGACCCACCAACCAGTCCCGGTATCGTTCATCCCTCCCTTCGGTGCTAAGTATAGCATTTCTACCAACCTGTCGTCCTATGCTACAGATATTATATCCACCCCAACTTATGCACTCCTCCCCCATGCCATAGTTCACTCATCTCTTCAAAAACTCGTTAATTCCACTCTTCTTGCTACGAGCTTAATGCAAAGTACTCCTGTCTGTTATAAAACATCTATTTCAAATGGTTGTATCTGAAGATTTAATCTCATGTGCGATTTTTCTAAAAATATAAGAGAGCGATAATGTAAGATATGATAGATATTACTTATTAACTTTAAGGATTAAAGTACCATGCTTATAATAACTGTCTGTTAAATATTGATAAATATATAATCATGAAGAGAGAGGATACATATTAATGAATAAATTCTATGCTATTTTTTCGTAAATAAATTTTCTTAAATAACATATACAATACATTTTTTTGACAAACTACCATTATGTATGTCTAAAGCAAAAGCAGAGGGAGATTCGCGAGCGTCGAGGTCGCGAGGTCATTGACCGCCGAGGGTGGCACTCACCCTAACTAGGCCAGCAGATCTGTCTTTCTCTTTCTCTCCCATCCCCCTTTCTCTCGATACGCCCTTCCTTTGGTTTCTCCCACCCGATATAATCATACCCCCACCAGAACATGCAACCTCTCAGAGACGGGTTCTGCTATTTTCGCGGGGCCACTCGACATGGATATACACGGGCCATCTACGTTTGGCGGGATAATTTGTGCTATCGAGGTCATTCCACCCTGCTTGGTGGAGAATGAAGCTACTATTTCGCCCCACTATATCGCTTACATCGAGACTTAATCCTTTTCTTTCTGCTGAAAGCGAAAATATCTCATGTTACTATGTCGACAATGATGATATTTAATATGTACTTCTAGTCATCTAGCTTTTGTCAATCAATCTCGGTTGGATACATATGAAACGACAATAATAATGATTATCCATATACAGATTATATTACCTAATAATGTGCGTAATTTTGTATCAAAATTATTAATTTTAAATACATTTAACAATCTGTTTCTCTATAAAATTAAATAATTTATTTGCATTTTTTCTTTCAAATAGTTTCTTTAACCGTTATGACTAATTATAATTATAATTACAATAAAACGGATAATTAAACATATATATAAAATGTAACACATATATGTTACATTTATAGATAATGGCATACTATTTATTTGAATAAACGAACGTACAGGGAGTGTCGGAAATACGTTAATGAGTCAACCATAAGTGCATATGTACGCATCTATTAACAATAAGTGTCCAGCTGATTATATAATCCAGGAGCTATCAAAGGAATGTTGGATTGATTCTGCTAGGACTCGATTTTATATAATTAAAACTTTTTGAAAGATGATAAAAAAAAAAGATGCTGCTACTAGCAGTAAAAAATCATAGCAGTAGATTTATCGATGACTTGTAGGACTGAAATGCCATGCAAATTGAACACACAGCTGGTAGGATGCTTTGTCGGAAACATCTGAGTGATACTGCGATACCTTGTACCTCACATATATTTTTGCTAAAATGACACTGCCTAAAGCATTACATTACTTTACTCGGTGGATCTTTTGTCCTTTTGTTATGACATGAAGTAAAAAATGATCAATCGTGATATAGAAATGATCTTTTAGAAGTGATTTTTTCCCGATGATAGAAAAAGAAGAAAAGAGATAAATATAAAAAGAGAGCAAAAAGTATTGGAGCACATTTACAATGCTTTCTTTTTCGGCATAAAAGTAAAAGTAAAACTTTTTTGACTGCGGACGTGCAAAAAATTCATCAAAATTTTGGGAACTTCCGTCAGGAGTTTAGAGTTTTCTCGCAGCAACTCTTTTTTTAGAGCTGTTACTACATGCTATTTTCTCTACCTGTAATAGTTCTCTCGAGATCAAACAAGGTTACTTGAACTTTTTTTTCTATTGTTCTGAAAGAATAGATCATAAATAACAAAAATATTCCGTCCTCGTAAATTTTTTTTAATTTTTATAAAAAGGAAAAGATCTTATTTTTTACTTCCCCTCCCCACACACACACACACTTTTTCTCTCTCTCTCTCACACACACCCAACAAACAGCAAAAATTCATTTTAGGGGCCTGTTGTGTGATCTCGTATAGACCGATATTCATAGTTAATTTACTTAACTACAGTTTTAAAATATCATTAAAAAAGTCGCATACTGGTATCTTAAGATAGTCTTCAAATAAGAACGCGCGGCTTATGAATATCACTCCCTTAATCTTTATTTTCTAGATCTCTCGTAATTTTCTCTAGAACGGATGGTTTATATTCTATATCTAGATTTTTACTGAATCGTCTTTATCATTATCCTTTAGTCACTATCGATTTGAAAGATATCACAGATATTGCAACACGCCTGACCCGCATCGATTTGATTGATAACGATATCAGAATCAGCGAACCATGCGTCACTATGAGAAAATCAATCAAATGTTATTAATGTTTATTAATTGTTCAGCGTGCATAAAAAAAATCAGATTAAGCTGTCAGTAAAATAACGTGATGCGTGTTTCTCAGAGAGAAAGTTATAAATCTTAAGATTTGATTTCAATTGCAACACTTTCACTAAATTGTGTTTGCTCTTTGTCTAATAATATACTAATCGTATTTATCGCGTCGTACGTGGGCTTCTATGCTTTTTAACATGCACGTGTCTTTACATTGTAAGTGATTATCATATCTGTGGCTAATAAAATGCATCGCACGACGGTTAACCGTGACGTGTAAACACTTAATCACTTCGCCGAGTATCCACCGAGAACGCATTCAGCTTAGAAGGGGAAAAATATTGAATCACGATCGAGAGGCAGCGTGAACGTCGAAGGTGCGCATACAGAGCGATTATCCTCGTTCGATGTCGATGAACCACTTGACGCGGATTCCGGCTTCGAAGGACGCAAGATCGCCGATCCGCGACGAACTTCACGTACAAATCAGCCATTATATCGACGAATGAATTTGCATACCCGTTTGTTTCTTACACGACGCTAATCACACAAATTGCAACTATTGGGCAAGTTATAAATATGATAATAATTCGTTGCATAATGTCGCCGCCTGCCGATAAAGTGATACGATCGATATGAAAGCTAGGCGCACGATAATATGCGAGTTGCTCCACAACTGTCATACTTCTTTTCAGTTAGAAATTTTTTAATTATCTAAGCGTGCAAAAGCTTACGCAATACGAAAAAAAGATACGTTATATTTATTCATACATTCCGTGCAAACACTGCAAACTGATAGGATAATAGGATGTTCGCATAAAATTTGTTGAAGACTTATTATTGTCCGCTATGAGAAATATACATATATATGCATATTTCGCAAAGGAACATAGTTGTACAGTATATTATTGTAATTTGTATATTTATCCTTTGTGGATAATTTTGAGTACTCCGCAAGCAATCGATGTTACGGCAACACATAATCGGGGGTAGGTGGAGGTTGGTGCGTCGAATCCATGTCGCGGTTGACCGGGTTAGGAATCGTGGTGAGATCGTTGCCCCAACGACCCGATACCGCCAACCCCGGGATCCGTGGTGGTATTTCCGCGGGAGAACGGGAGGCCGGAAACGAGCAACGCGGACTGATATCTCGAACGTAACAGTAAATTTTACACATTTCATTCTTATTAATGTCGTTGCAAAGAAATCATCTAAAATCATCTAAAATGAATTCTTTTTGTTTACATACACATATTGTTAAAAACGGCACTTTCTACAACTTCGTATAAAAAAGATATAAAAATAAAAAAGAATTATTTTTTATGTATATATAAAAAAATAAGAAATGTTTTATATTTCTCGTAGATCAAAGCTGAAATTGTTCTCGTGTTGAAAAGCATTGTTTTTCCGTCGAGAGTGGCGACACTTACAGAAGACATCGTAAATGTTATTTAACAAAGCGCAGGAATTTTATTTAGTTTTATCGGAATTATTTAGCTAGAGGAGTCATGTAACCACAAGGCTCTTAATATGGTCGCTTGCTTTCACTTTCTGGTAGCTGATTGATATCACTGCAATGTTTTGAATCATTTCCACAGATTCTTCAAAGATTTTCGTAATATATGTGTTTCATGGATTTTTTTAAAAATAATTAATTTTTTGAATAATTAAAATAATAATTTACTTAATCATGTGGAGACGTTATTTAATGCTTACTATAACTACTATTATACATATATGATCATGATAAATGAAATATGAAAACATATATACGTCAAGCACAACAGCAAAATTTTCATAATATAAAGTTATTTTGACTAGATATAAAATTAATCTCATTTCGCTACAATCTCTAAAGATATCGACTATTGACGGTAAAAGGCAAATTTCGTCAGCAAAAAGCTGTTTCATAAACGGAGATTGCGGAGAAAGATAGATAGATAAATAAAGAGAAAGACGAGAGAAAAGAGAGAAAGGACGAGAGAGACAGAGAATACATGTATGTTACGAGCGTCTGTCTGTATGTGGAGGCATGCGTCAGTGATCTCTCAAGGCCTTCGCACATTAGCCGTTCGGTAGCGTTCGCAACGTCCCACTTTCCTTCGCGCACGGTCAACGACCTCGTAGATAGGTGTAGTAGGTGCTCCAAGGTGGTACACTACATACGCGCGCTCGCGATTCTATCCGTTCGCGTTACAGATTGTTTCAAAAAAGGATATGCCAGCAGCAAAATATTATCTTCGAAAACGAAACAATAAACCGATGCGATTTCACGCAATCGTGCGAACGATTTATTATCTGAGCTCACAGGAAAAGTGGAAAGGAAAAACTTCGGTGCGAAATTTTCACGAACGTAATCTGATTTAAAAAGGATTATATACTGAGATTTATTGAAATTATATTAACTTATGCTAATGTTGCAATTCCGAAAGTTACACATTATTTCTAAACAATTCCTTTTACGTAATGCTTTCAGTACATATGGTTTTTACGTAATGTATCTGTTGAATATTCCTTTTAAAGCTGAAAGGATTAACGTATCCGAGATGATTTCAGAAAACGATATTTCATCGAAATGTAAAGTACTAACAAAAAATGATACTATCAATGAATTAGTAACGCTACAGAATATATGTATACTTTACAAACATCTGGAATGTCATAAATCAAAAAAACATAATTAACCGAACAAAATATAGGTAAACCGTGACAAGGATTGAAAAACGAGGCTAATTTGTTTTGTGAATACCAACCATGCAGCACAGAGACTACAAAGGAATACCCTCAAAACATTCGGAGCATGTTTTAAGGACGTTTCTGTGGATTAAGTATGTTATTTTGGAAATTTTTTCTCGAAAGGATTGAGAATAACTTACATACATCCGATGATGCATGTTAGTACGAAATATAATAAATGAAAGAATTTTAATAGGAAAAATGTAATTTTATGTGTAACTTTATGGAACTGATAAACAAAAAATGAAAAACAAGATATCGCTTCTACCTAGAATTTTGAGTCATCCTATATAAAAGTGCGCGAGTGTGCGATACGCACACGCATGAAAAAGGACTTGACATATATAATCACGGTACAGTTCGCGTGCGATCCGAGTGAAGGCGCCACTGCCTTTCGCGAATCTCCGAGGAAAAGTCGGTACGACAGAGAATTCACATCTCGCGAGTCGGTATCGATAAAACAATCGAGATAATATTATAATCTATATTAAAAAGGAATTTATTTCTATTTTTCGAAAACATGCGATTTTACTTTTTTTTATCAACTTAACAAAGTAATATGTTTTCATATCTAAAATGTAACATC